TTTTTAAAAACATATTTTTATCTTTTTTTCGTTTTCACAGCGGCGTTCAGTTGAATTTTTTCCCAACACAAAATAATATCAACTTTTTTTGTCCCTCACAAAAGCCAATCATAATAATTGAGGCTAGGGTTTTTAGGTCTACCTGCATTAACTTGATTGTGGGATTTTACGTTCTCTCTTACCTAAGTATATTGATTTCAGAGGTTAGTAAATGAGAGGGATGTAGGACCTTACCTCCGTGAATTGAGTTTAAAATATGAATAATGCTACTCCATCCATCCTGCTTATATATATTGACTTTCATTATTTTCTTATCTCCAATTATATAGTCATGCTTAGGGGCGTCAACGAGTTGAGTTGAGCCACGAGCTGAAACTTGAAAATTGGACCCTACTAGAACAAAAAATGGTTCGGATTTTTTTTGTCTGAGCCGAACTGAGTTGAGCAAAAGCTTGGCAAAAAAACAAATGCTCAACCCAAGCTTTCTAATCGGGAATTAGCGGGCCGAGCTGGCTCGATTTTTTTCTTTTTCGTGATAAATCTAATATTTTTAAAAAAATTTAAAATTTGTGTAGGCGTGAATTTAAAATTTGAGCGGACGAGCCTTTTTGACATCCCTAGTCATGTTTCTTTATTGAGAATGTTTTATTTTGTTTGTTTGCTAATATATCTTTATTTAATTTGTCAAGTTTAATCAATTTTGTTACTAGTTGTTGATAATTAAATAAAAGTAGACTAAGAAAGTTTCTGGCATTCAATTGCATACATCTCTTTTATTATAATATATTTCGATGAATTTTTAGAATCAAATATGTCATTAGAATTAATTGCTATATATTCATCAATATATAAAATATAAAGGACGAGATTGAATTGGATTGATTGAACACGGTTAAAGTAGAGGCCCTTGTGATAAAATTATCTGTTATTATTTGATATAGTGTATATGTTTTTGCCAAAAATGGTCTCCCAATAAGTTGATTGAAATAATTCAATAAAATAATATTATACGTAAATTCAAAATTTTTTCTTATTTTTTAACCACACATTCTCCATTAAAATAATTTTTCAAAATATATTTTAATAAAAATAATGGGGCTCAAATAGGTATTAAAATATCATTTTCTTTAATTTCTTTCGTGATTTTTTTTAGTATCACTATTCATAATCAGCAACTGCAATAGTCATCTTACATGGTATAATTTTAATAATTATTTTTTAAAAAGAATAACTTTTAAAATAATTTTATGCCACGTAAGATATCACGTATGACGACTACTGTCGCTAACTATGAATATCATTATTATAAATTATATTACAATATTTTGTAGACAAATATCTTTAAAGTCTAATAAATGAAAGTAATTGATATATTTATTGTCCTTTATTGCATTAATTCCAAACACATCAATTACCACTTAAAAGAAATTACCCTTGTTTTAAATTCTATGGAATGGACCTAAATATTAAGGATTGTAACTTTTAAAGATATTTTTTGATCTGCTAAGTATTTATTTCTTGAGACATTTAAGAAAATTTTAAGGTGAAAGTGACTGGTGTGATTAAGATTAAACAATTCTTTTTCATGTCCATGAGGTGAAATATACGAGTTTTTGTGAATTAAAATTTTAATCAAATGAAAATTTCTAAAACGATGAAAACAACCTTAAATTATATTTTCAGAAAAATTCTCTTCGACTATGAAAGAAAATTCAGCGTGCAATACTAAATAGAATATATTAATTAAAGCAGCCGATCATGCTACATCTCTTTAAGCGGATCCCTAGCTACATACAATGTACAAGACTATATGTTTTGGCTAAAATGAACGGAATTTAACATGTATGAGATGTTACTCGTGTTAGGGATGGTAATCAATTGGACTTTGGGGATGATAATGAGGTGAGGGAAAGGGGAAGGGTGAGAACGATGGAATACGCCCTGCATCCCACGACCCGTTTCAGATTTCCAAGGAATACATTTTAAAAATATAAAATAAAATTAAAAATAAGATTAGGGATGGGGACCATATTTCTCGTGTCAGCTTCGATTTCCTGATAGGGTGGGAGAATGTGGGACAGATGAGAGTGGGATATTTGTTATCTGTATTAGGACGTCTCTCTTTATTCCTTACCCAGTCAAGGATTTCTTTGGAGGCGAATGGGAATTGGGATTAAAACATCCTTAATTTTTGCCCATTTCTCTATCGAACGAGTTAAGGCAAGGACCATGTTCCCAATTCCTCGACTAACCAAGGTCAAGAAAGGAGAACACGAGGCGAATGGAAGCAGGACATTTAATCATCCATAATCTGCTGTATAAGTGGATGTATTTGTTTAGTTAGAATAAATTAGATCTAGACGTGGTTTTGGTTTGATTCAGTTCGATTTCAAAGAGAACCAAATTGAATCAGGTCAAACTAAGAATTATCGATTATCTTATAAACGGAACCTTTATGTCCAAATTTAATTATATAATCGAACCAAAATCAAATGGTCTATTTTGGTCCTGTACCATAACTAAGATTTTCAATAATTAAAACAACACAACATTAATCTAAAAAATGATAAGCTTCACCTTAATTCTTAGTCCAAATTTATAAAAAAATAATAATAATAAGTTGTCTAATAAAATTAATTCACCTATGTACTCAAATGATCAAAAAGTAAATAAAAAAGATAAAACGAAGGCAAATTTTTTTTTTTTTTAAGTTTCTGCCCTTATTTTGAAAAATTGCTTAAAATTATGTTGGGATAATTCCCAAGGGGTTCATGATATATGGATCAACATTATAGTAAATATGAGACTAGTAAAAAAATTAGAAGGTTTGGTTATTTGGTCCTCAGTCTAAAATTGAAAATCGAATCAAACTCGTTGATTTTCGATTTTGATATCCATTATTCAATTTAACCTAGAAAAATCGAACTAATCACTCTATGAGACTATTCAATTCGAAATTTTTGTTCAATCTTAAAATAAATAATAAATATTGAGTCAATTCCTTGACAAACAATTACCCCACCCCCACCCAGAAGCAGTTGTGAACAGGCATCTCATCACAAAAGTACACACATAAATATATATATATCATGTCATAGTACCACATTTATTATTATTATATACTTTTCCTCCACATTTTCCTTTGCCACCACCATTCCTTCTCATTCTTCTCTCCCAACTTTCTCTGTATATCTCTCATATCTCTATACTACGGCACGCAAGAGCTATGAGTGAGGACGAAGAGTGGGTAAAAACGGCAATGATTGATGACACTGTGGTGGTGGAGCTCCTCGTTCGGCTAAACCAATCTCAACATCCGCCGCCTCCGCCGGCGGAGGCGATTAAGCAGCTTAAGTGGAGCATCCGTCAACGCCGGTCCAGACATGCCGCAGTTAAGCCGTCTACCAGAGCCAGCCCCACAACGCCACTGTCATGGAGCGGCGGTGCCACCTCTCTCAGTGGCGGCCATGATGAATCCAGTCATTCTCCTCCTAAACTCGCACGCCATAAAAGATCTAAGGTTAGCACACAGAAAATATATTATACTCTATATATAAACGCACAAATTACGGTATATATCTCTACCGACAGCCGGTTACTTTTCCGGCGAACGGCGTGTTCTTTGCCGCCGGAGTTTTTTTTCGTTTTTCTCTTCATTGGTCTCGTGACAGTTTCCAATGGATGCGGATTTGTTTATTGACGGAATTACCCTTGGAAAATTAGGATATTTACTGCCACGCGCCTAGGAGAATCAGATTCAGCCTCTCGACTTTGTTTGATAAATTAGATCGTACACTTTCAATTACACCCGATCTTTATTATGCGCATTCTACTCACCTGCCGGCCTTATTATTATGCGCATTCTTGTCAATCCTATGAGGTTGCGCAATTACAAAATTACCCCTATAAATTGAAAGTCTAAAGGCGTCATTTCACTCATTTCCTTATTGAATTGGTTAACAAAGTGTCAGAGAAGAGTCCATGGGGTCACCAAGACCTTAGCCGAAACTTCATCCGCAAAATTACCACATTAATCTCAATGAAATTGGATGACAATGAAGAGTGAGGGGGTATTTCGGTCAATTCAATTAGTGGGGTATCGTTATGCTACCTGTTTAAATGTTGGCGTGTTTTCGTGGCAAGATAGTTATGCGTTCAGTTTGGTGGTGTGTTGTGAGTGGTTGTACACTTCATTAAGAACTTTCCACTTCTATATTATGAGGAATAATATATTGTGGGCATGACCAATTTAGCTAAACATACACCCTCAAAATCTCGTTATTATCCATGTCTTTTTGTCTTTACGTTCCAACCATCTCATGCCACTCGTACACAACGAAAGCGAACATTACGAGGCAGTAGGCACGGCACCCACGGTAGCAAGTTATATTATCACGTGAATCAATCCACAACTAAACCAGTGGGAAATATAATGATTTGAATGGGTTGTCAGTGTGCGTATAGGATCCTCCCACTAAATTTTTTGCCTAAAATACGTGGCCTGCCCCACGAACACAATAGTATATTAAATTACTAACGGGACAAAAATCGGTTAGCGGACTTGGAATGACAGCTTTGATACAACCATGCTTTATTTACCACATTATGTATGATATAGCTGTAAATCTTGTACCAGGCTAAATTTGTCCAATTTGGAGATAACTTTTTTTAATCTTTATATTCAACAGGCGATGATTATGGCTGTAATTGCTAAGCCTATGCATGACAGTAATATTATGTTCATTTTATATATTTTGCGGGTCCAAAAGAGGAAATTTTTTATCTCACAAGTGTAATTGCCTGGGGGCTTGAAAATAGCATGTGTAGACAGTGAAGTTTGTTACATAATATGTGACAGATTGTATGGTATGAATTTAGCTTTGATGCTGGAGGGATGGTGATATCTAGTGCTTACTTGGGTATCTACATAGCTACATAAAAGTACATGTGAACTTCATTTCTACCTTAGAAACATGATTCTTGGGATGTCAGTTAAGGTTTAAAAAAAATTCACGTACACCCACTCTCAATTCTTTTTGAGTGAATAGCTATGGCCATAATGTTTGAGAAATGTTGTTTGATCACAATAACTTGCCGTATTGACAATATTTTTGGTGGGTTCTCACTTAAATCCTTTATGGGTTGTTTGGAAGATAATGTATAGTACTCGGGCAATATTAAGGATTAAAAAGATAAGCTTAAGACATATATATTGTACTGCCCACTATTGTCTGAACTAATATGATGTACTAAACATGAAATATTTGACCAGATTTTTCTAAATGGACAATTTTAGCAGTAGTCACATGAAATGAGTGATTGCGGCCTTGCGTTTCAATCAAGTGAGTGCTTAGAAGTGGGTCCTAGTAGCATGCTCTCGGGTTTCTTGTCTTCAAATTCACTGTGTAAATATGTTTATCAACTCGTTACGCATGCTTATTGACAGTGAAGTGTAGTTCACGAGAGTACCAGCGAACTAAATCTGCTTTATTAGCGTGATTTCATGCTAATTGTTTCTTATATCCATTACAGATTAATAACAATAGTGAAAAATCAACCATCAAGAGATCAAGAAAGAAGAAGGTGAGGATCATGCTGTTTATTGAGCTCATGAAGTGTATATCGGTCATAATACCCCGGGTTCACGTTTTTGTAATGCCCACTTGATGTTTCTAACAGTTCAATCATTGGGATGCCCAAAACTGTTTTTGAGTTCCTAAACATTAGTTGCCATTAAATTATTCAAAGTTTTCACAAAACATTAAGTGTAAATAGTGTCCTGCTGATGTGAAAACTGTTATGGTTAAATATATATTGATATACTTTAATTTATTCATAGAATTCTATATATTTGGCAAAGTTATCAGCATTGTTTTCTGAGTTGTTTCCCATGCAAGAGAAATATACGTTAATTAATTCAAAGAATCTTAACATATTTGGTAAAGTTATCAGCATTATTTTCTGAATCGATGCCCATGTAGGAGAACATGATCTTACATTCTGCTTATGGTTCGAATATTCTTAATCAATGTGATACTTAATTCTCCTCGAATATGCCATTCTTATTATGTAGAAAAAGAGGTTACCAAAATTCAGAATAATTTTGAGAAGCGTACGATGGGAAATATTTCAAGAAAATACATTACAGTTTGCATTTTCATACGAGAAATTACACAAATTATTAGAGGTGCTTCTTCGTGCCATAAATGTGTGTGTGTGTGAGTGTGTGTGTGTGTGTGTGTGAGTGAGTGAGTGAGTGAGAGAGAGAGAGAGAGAGAGAGAGAGAGAGAGAGAGAGAGTATTATTTAATGTTTTTTTTAATTAAAATAAAACAAGTATGCAAAATTAGCATTTTAGTTGTTACTTTCACAGAGTCTTATTATGGTACTTTTCTTGGTTTTGATTTGCAGACCTTAACTGAACTGAAAGAAGAGGAGGACTTGCTACTTAAGGAACGAAGAGAATTGAAGAGGGTACTTTTCTTCTTTTTGCTCCGTGTGCTGATTCACTTAAATTTGCAAATTCTCCTAAATATGAATTGGCATCAAAACAACCAATTCTACACAGGAAATATCAGCTTTACGAGTCAATTTGGTGAAACAAAGGGTTACCAATGAAGGCTTGAAGAAAATGAAGGTGCGGTTATCTCAGTTCACTTTGCTGTCATGTGGTTCATTTCATTACATCTGATTAATAAAGAAGTCTAATAGAATTGCTTGCATTAATCATTTTTGATATCCACTAACCTGCTAGATGTTTGATTGTATAAAGTGTGTGACCTATATGATCACAGTCAATGTCCAGGAAATGCTCAAAATAATTATTTTCTTCTGCTAAAACCCTATCCTACTAAGTACTAGGGACTGATCTAGCACCTTGCGAGGCCTCCTGTATTGGATTTGTTGGGAAAAATGATTAATGAAGATTTTGTGTTAAGTATGTATAACTAGTAATGTACTAATTTTTCACAGAAGGCCAATTAGCTCACTTGGCAGGGCGCTCTCTTGCATGTGGGATGCTCGGGGTTCAAATCCCTTCACCCTTGCTCCTTTTAATTTTTAACACAGTAAATAATACTATATATATATCTATACGAACCTATAACGAAAGTTAATGTAGCTCATATAGTAGAGTGCTCGATTTACATTCAAGAAGCTCGGGGTTCAATTCTATCCTCCTCCCCTCTTTCGTTTTTTTGACACAGTAAATAATAAATAAACAATTATATATTATTATTTTTTGCTTCCGAAATAATTTCTTTAAAAAATTTATTGACTCAAATTATTACTTTATAATATATACTTTTATTGTTAGGTTGTATCAATTTATTGTGTAAAATTCAAATTTGGACAATTTAAGTATTGTTTTTTATTCTTTTTAGAGTTTAGAAAAGTCTTTTTCTTTTGGGGTAAAGAAAATTTATAGTTCTAAAAATCATTGTTTTAAAAATTATGCACAAGTTGTCTAAGCTCGGGACTTGTCTTTATTGATCGTGTTTTACATATAACTTCATATTGTCTTGGTTAAGTTCGTAAAAACTTGAAATTTGATCATACATATATGTGATTGAAAATGTATTTTTTTCTTATTATTTTGGGTTGTATTAAATTATATTTTCATATGTATCTGATTTTTAAGTTTTAGCGTATTTATATATTGATTGAATTTTTTTAAATATTATTTAATTAAATATTAATAAATAATCTCACTATTCCAACTGTGAACAATCAACGGTCGCCTTGCTGCAGCCCAAAAAGGAATTGAAGTGATCTGATTTTGTACTGTGTATCAGTGATCTTAACTTCTGTACTTGCTATATCTAAGGAACTGCAGTGATCTTGTTTTGTGCTGTGTCTGTGTATAATATATTAACTTCCGTACTTGCCAAACCCAAGCAATACTGAATGCTACATGCATAGAAGTGAAATCGGAGCAACTGGTTCGGTGTGCCACTTATCCCCCTGTTTTGTTTATCTAAAAAAAAGTTGATAAAAATCTAACTCGAAGTAAACAATTTATCTTAACCACACATTGCATGAGACTCGCAACTTCTATTCACTTTTCAACCACACATTTCATTTAATTATTATGAAAATCCACTAAAAATCTGATTTATAGACAAACCAAATAGGGGCTTAATTTGTCATTTTCTTGATATAATACTTGCAAGAACACAGGGCAGCCAGCCGAGTGCAGATTAGAACGTCAACCAAAACTGCACCAAGAATAGTCATGGAAGAGTTCTCGAAACTATTCATTTCTTTTGTTTTATACTTGTTCTCAATATTGTGTAGACCTAAAGAATGATGCAATATAGTGTTGTGTTCATTAGAGTGACGTGATCTCGGGACTAGACATTAAAAGATGGAGGAGTAGATCAAAACCAACATGGCCTGTTATGATTGTGTAGACTTAAATAATCTTGAAATTATTTATTTCTTTGTTTTATACTTTTTCTCACTATGTGTAGACCTAAAGAATGATGCAATCTAGAGTCTTATGTTTATTAAAGTGACGTGATCTCGGGACAAGATATTAACAGACGGAGTAGCCCAAAACCAGCATGGCATGTTATGATTGTTAAGAATCTAATTGCTTTGGATACTCATGTCAGATCTAATAATTAACATATAAGATGAGTAGCCAACCTCAAATATTTTTGAAACCAAATTTAGCTTATGTTTGGCTCATATTTATAAATTGTTTATAAACACTCAAGCTACTTTTTATCCTTAGAGATTTCGAGGGACTCCTAAGCACTATCCACATATTCACCACTCTTTTCTATCTATTTATAATTTAAATCGTTTATAAACACTCCCAAAAAATGCTTTTATAATTTTTTTATTTTTATTGTTTCATGCTCAATCTCAAAATTGTGCTATTGGCTTCGTGGAGCATCCCAATACTCTCCATTTTTCCTTTCAAAGATTTACTTTCTTTCAGTTGCTATGGTTGCATATTGTAATTTGTTGCGAGACATTTTAGTACTTTTAGGGTGATATTATGATCTGATTTTCTATTTTGTGCATTTGAATGCTGTACTGGCTCTCTCATCTTTGGACGTCCACATAGTAGGTTCAACCGGTTCAAACATGGGATTCTTTTCAGTTTCTTCGTGCAAGCTTGTCCTGTTAACATTGTCAGACTGCCAAACCACAAGAAGAATGCTACATTGAACGGAGAAACTATACAAAATGAAATGTTTAAGATCAATGTCGTGCATCTGATATTTTGTTATATTCTGAAACTCGTGTTATTTTTCTGAACAGATGGAATTTCAACCACTTATGGAACAAGGATCAACAACTGTATCCGAGACAAAAGTTTCTGTTCGAGTTCAGGAAAACATTGCAGCTTGTCAACCTATCCTTCCTATCACACCGTCCTCAATTGTCTCTAAAAACATTGTTGGGCTGCAATTCCCGACATCAGACGACTCTCCTGAAATGAAGGCAGTTGCGGTTCCTGAGGGTAAATTCATGCTTCCAGATCTAAATATCGCGTTCGATGAGGAATCCGGATATGAAGTCAGCTAGTTAATCTAGAATGCATATCAGAAAATCTCCTCACCCAGTTAGACAAATATAACCAACTACACCTATACAAAGTAAGGGATAGTCTTGCTCTCTAGGAAGAACTATTGTAACTGTATTATAGGGAACTAATTAGCCTCTCGAAGATCTATTCTTTTCGTTAATTTCATGAATGAAGTTGCTGAGGGTTAGAGTAAAGATCCTAACTCATTAGATGCAGCCACATTCTCTACCCATAGCTTTAAACTAGTCCAGTTCATTTGGGACAATCACCATTTCTTGTATTTTCTTTCTGGGAATGTGGGTTCAATCCATCTTGTGCTACACTTTTTAGATATATGGTAAAAAATGACAAAATGAGTGTTATACATGGTTAATCCATCACAACTTCTTCTGCAGTATATGCTTGTTTGGATTTGGAGCACGTTTGGCTCATCTTAAAAGCTGAATAATAGGTTCCTCAGCTTATTTTGACAGCATCTAGAGTGATACTGTCGAAATAAACTGGCTTCAGAGTAGAAGCGGCCAAACATGCTCAACTCCAGGCATTATAGGAATCTAAATGTGGTGCAACATATGAATGTCAGGTCGAGTCCAAGGGATCAAATATGTACAAAATGTCTTCACAATTATCAATTATGTCTATGAATGGACCTGATGCCCAAAATGAAGATGAATTTTCTTACATGACATTTACCACCGAAATAAATCGAACACTGGCACATATACTTAACTATGAATATTCTAACTGAAACTCTCCAAGGGAAATAAGATATTATAAACCATACAACAAATATCAGGAAAATCATTTAAATTTCGACGCTCAGTACATCCAAGACAGGTCTTGCTTGAATGTAACCAACTTAGCAGCACCGTGAATGCCCCTTTCTGATATCTGTGGACAGTCATCCACTGCTAGGAGTTCTAACTTGTGTGAACCGACAAGTGGCCGTAATCCATCATCCGTAACTCCTAAACATTTGCTAAGCTTCAATATATACAACTTCGGAAATTGCGCTACAAGCTGTAGTCCCTCGTCAGTAATCTCTTGGCATCGAGAGAGTTCTAATATACGAAGGTATTCAGCCGAACATAGTGCTTCCATTCCAACATCATTAAAGGAATATACGTGATCCAATGCAAGTTCTTGTATGGGGCACCTTTGTATTAGACTAAGAATTCCATGCAAAGTAAACGAGGAAAATGAAGGAAACTCACCATCGGAGAAAGATAACCTCACTGATTCCAGATGTGAGCAAGTCTCTGCCACTGCCTTCAAACTTTCATCTGTTAATCTTATTGGATTGTTCATCAAAAGGGGGAGCGAGAAATCTGATGGAACTCGGAGGGAAATCGAACGAAGATTGCTTGAGTTACGAGCCATACGTATAATGTCACAGTCTCGTACCCCAACACACATATCTAAGTGAATTTTTTCCAAGTTTTTGCATTTCCCCAATACACATGCAAGACCTCTACCAGGACTAATGATACTATTCACCAAGTTGAGCTCAAGCATGCTATCACACGGAATCCACTGCTTTTGCCATTGATCTACAGCTAACCGATCATAAACCTTCATGTAACGGTAATTAGCATCCACCTCGAATTGTAAGCGCTTTAATTTGCGCCAGCTCGGCCCGAGCTTGATTAAATCACCTTCTCCTATCGCCCTACAATTCTTGATGCAAAGATCTTCAATTGTTTCAAGCTTGCCAAGATATTCGAGCCACTCCATGCTGCTAACATTAAGACAACGAATAAGGTGAAGCAGCGTAAGATTTTTGCATCCTACCACAAGAGATAATATCCCACAGCCACTTATTCTGGGAGTGAAATTTAATTTCAAAGCAGAAAGATGGGAGCAACAAGCAAGGCGGCCTAAACCAGCATCGGTGATAAACGTACAATAACTTAAATTGAGATCTTTTAGAAATGGGCAGCTGCTCGAAAGAATGTAAAGCCCTTGATCATCCAACTGTTTCCCTAATCTAGACATCCAACCCGAGTAAGAGATTTCCACTTTTTCCAAGTTCCGAAATCTATTGCACAGAGAAGCCAATGCTTCATTGGCAGGATCCAATCCACAACCAACTCTGATAGATTTTCTCTGCTCGTTATCTAATTCATGAACACGTTTACAAGTTAACGACACAGAGTTTTTATCAACGTTTTTCTTAATTCTTCCTAAAATTTCCCAAATTACTTCGTCAGGCAAATCATCCATTGAGATCAGACTTCTATTATCGATGAAAGGAGAATAACAGCAGTAATAGCATAACCTGAACAATGAAAAAGATAACTCATAAGTTAGATATTCTAAACTCGGGAAATAACCTCTCTGAAATTATTCCATACAATAGAGCCAACATTTTCAATCAAAACACGTTGGAAATTATATGTGCTTCAGAGATTCAAGAAAAAAAGAAAGCAATTGGAAGCTTTAGATATAAAACTCCAAATCCACTTATTCTGCTTCAGACAATTATTACTTGTTTGGTGAAGTTTAAGAATCTAGTCATGTATGCTATGGCGTACTAAACATGCAATTACAGTAAGGGTAATACAATAAACAAATCGATCCAACTACTCAATCGTTTCTGGTTCCCCTAATGCCGAATACTTGGACGCATATGAAAGGGCTTATGCTTCACAAAAATATACGGGCGAAAAAACTTGGCTTCCTCCGTTCTATGGTAATGCCAAGATAAGAATCGTGGAAATAAAGATTTGTCGATTCTGTTATCGTAGACGAACCCCTTATGCTGTTATTACGAGATATATAAAATCTAATTGCCCCATTCAAATTTAAAGAAAAATATGACTTACAGTTCAAATTAAGCAAATAATGTTCACATTGCTTAATAACAACTTAAAAGTTAATTTTTATTTATTTGGAACCAAGGACAACCAAACATGATTTAAATGAAAAAGTATAACAATAAACCAGTAAATTGCTCCGAACTCAAATTCGATAATAATTTAAACAACCAGTACTGGAAATGGTAAGATCGATTTAAAAGAGAAATAAACGAACACATTAGATATCATCATCAAATTAAGGAACCATCAGAATCAATCCAATTACTATTATAAGCAGAAATTATCAAAATCCCAAAGTGTAATTCAAACGAAAGGATTAGTAAAAAATAAATTTAATTCAGAAGAGATCAATGGAATAAAAATTTGGGGAAATCGAAGGCAGAAATCCGTGGGAAAAATACAATTAAATTAAAAAGAATTAAATTTACCAGGGATTGAGAGCAAGGAAATTCGCGGACGCAAAATGATGATCTGAAAAATTATGCTTACGGATAGATATTTGTAGATATTTATTGGCAATTTTTAAATGAAATTAGGGGAATTTTCAAAAAATGGCCTACTACATATGTTTGTTGGGGCGACTTGGGTATAAATTAAAATCGGATTAAAATTTAAAAAAATTAGCAGTTGATTATTATTAGACGAGTGAGATCTAACAACGACAATATTTTCAATTTTAATTGGATTTTAAGCTTAACCAAACATGCTCTAATTTTGATAACCCTTGCAACAATGATCAAATTCGGTATCAAATTGTCCTTAATGAAAAATGAAATTTTTTTTTCTTTTCAATATCACTAATTTGTAGAGAAGAAGTAACTTTCATGAGAAACTACAATAATACAAGATAATACTTAATGGATAAATGTCATTTCATTATCTATTAGGTAATAACCAATTTTTATTTCTATTTTTATTTTTTATAGAAGTGAAGATGACGAAATAGAAAAACCATTAACTTACAAAAAAAATTTACACACTTCTACGTCAAAGAAAATCATATCATTTCGTATCGAGAAATTTAATCTCATCCACAATTCTCTATAGAAGGTAAATTTTCTTCGAAATATATATATATTTTTTTGTATTGATAAATTGTATTTAATAGTTGTTGTGATATACATGATGTAAATGGATTATTAGATTTTTTAAACAATTATTAGATATTTGTTGTGAGATTATTGGAGTATTTTTAAATCAAAATCATATTTATTGTTTTGTTTTTATCAAGCATGATGTCATAACTTTGATGGATGGATTTGCTATTGACAATGCCATTAATGGTGGAATAAATTCCTTGCAAAAATGGTTGTTGAGGATGGAGAAGATGATAAATGCAAATGGTGAATTGTCTGGCCGACAAATCATTCTCGACATTTTATAAATTTGAGAACTACATTTCAACTATAATTCTTGACGTTTCAAATGTCGAGATTTATGTTACAAACTTAGCGAGGCCACAGAACATTTTATTTTTACCATTGACTATATTTTTTACGGGTAGCATGTATGTTTTAGGTATTCGTGTTAGCTAATTTTATTTGCATTCATGAAATGCAGATATGAGAGATGTTATGAGATTCGTTGTCTCACATGATGGCAAATTCATCAACTTAGAGAATGGGTGGAAGTGATTTGGGAATCGAACAATATCGATTGTTATTCGAGTGACATTAAATATGAAGAGCTTGTTTTCTGTATTCACCTTAATGTCAAATTTCTCATTCATGAATAATATAATTTTGCATTTATATGTTTTTATCATAGTTCATTACAACATTCAGTAGTCATCCAGTTAAGATTACAAAACATAAATTTAGTACTACTATATCAAGTTCATTACATAGTTACGAACTAAATTTGAAACAATGCCAAAGATAAATCATATCGAAGAGTTCGTACACTATCAAACTACATTGACTTCACCACTTCATCAACATAAACCATGACAATAACAATGAGTTTCTTATTTGAAGTGGTCACAAAAATGACGATATAGTTGACAGAGAAAATATCTCACTAACATCATCGTCGTCCGAGCTTATGCTGATGACATTCGGACCAAGTCCAACATTGTCTACCAACTCGTCGACATATTGAATGCCAAACAAAAGATAATGTTCGTTCAGTGGGATTTTGAGCGGGATGATCTCACTATGAGCAATATGATCACCAACTCTGAGGTCACTGGCTTACCTTCATTTCTTAAATCAGGAAATGGGATTGGATGAACACTTACTCGACGACGATAGTTCCCAGGTTGCGAAAGGTAGGGAACAACGACATGCATTTCTTCATCGACGTCCGAGTCGATGATGATCAGATTGTCCGTTGAAGACCCGGGCGGGGAGAGATTCATAGAAACATCAACATAAGTAGTTCATTCGCTTGAAGCAGACATAGTCGGAGGAAGAAGATTTCATTGGTAGAAATTTCTTGTAAGGAATTGTTTTTGAACATTGTTTTTGAAAGCATTTGCATGCTTATATAGATGAGTAAAACATAGTGTAATTACATTACAAGATTACACACCAACCCCTACTCTATGCCATTACAATTGATTGACATTTGTTTGACATCGTAGGCCTTGTGCTTGTCATGTGAATAGTAAATTTGTATTTATTACCAACATGCTTTGGTTGAAGTCAACACAATATCTTATTACACTCACTTGAGAACTTTTTGTTAATGTTGATGGATTTATAACACACCTTTGATTGAAATCTTATTGAGGAATTTCTACATCTAATTGGTTCGACTTAGTCCTTTCCATTTCAGGTTGTTCTTGTCATTTCAAAAGTTGTTATCGACATTTGGACACTGTTTATCACAACACTTGACAACTAATGTATCTAGAACAAGATTTCGTTCAGTTTCCATCAGTTCTATACATTTCCAACATTTCTCGACATTTGAAATGTTAATCTCGACATTAAATACCTATTATTCTCGACAACTGGTATTTCAACTGTCAGGAACGAAGATTTGTAAATTGTACACAAAATAAGACCTGAACAACATGCAATTACTGGAACAAAATAATGTTGTATCCATTTCACTTCTATATTCATACTAAAAACTACACCATTACCCAAAATTTTTACCTAAAGATGGTTTACAAAATAACGTTGCGAAATGTTTTTCCAAAATACACGGTGCTATGCTCCATCAACATTATAAAATATCTATGCATTCCTCTTACCCTTTCTATGACCATATCGTGTGAAAGGAGTCCGCGTGTTAGCATTGGACATCTTGACTCTAAGGGACTGAGGTCAAGATGGCGGTTGAGTATTGACTGTAGGAGGTACTGCGATGGTGGCAACAACACGTGACCATTTTTTGGACAAGTTATTGATGTTGCATGCATTTATTTCGGATGTCTCGACATGCTGTTCATCAACCGCAGTGTTGGGCAAGGACATTTTATCATAATCATCACGTACAGACATATCTCCATCTCCCAAATCACAACCAAATCCACCGTACTCATCACTTACCTCGTGTCCCCCAATTTTTGTAGCAACATCATCGAACCTACATTTCACCATACTTATCTAATCGGTCAATGGTCCTTCATGCTGGACACACGATCCCCCATTTTTTTTGAAAACCAGTGAACCTCACTTCATTTCCTTCCTCAATTCACCTGGCCTACTCTCAATCAACACTCTCTGTTCAGTCAACAGAGCTCTTATCTCATCCAAAGACACATACCTCACAGTATCACGATGCCCTTCTTCTCCACCTTCATCATCACTGAAATTATTCAAACGAAGTCCGATTGTGTTATCTTTCCTAGATTTCTTGCCTCAGATATTTTCATCAATTCGTATCACTTCACCTTCCGGTGGGTAGCCCCGTATTTCAGTTTACCGAGGAACGAGGCTGTCCAAAACGGGGTCTGATGCATCTTCCAATGTAACTTAGGGGGTGTAAGCGGTCTGATTTTTGCGATTTTTGACAAATTTTCAAACCAAACTGTTTTGACCGGTTTAAAAAAACTCAAACCTAAACCTAACGGTTTGGTCTGGTTTTAAACCGTCGGTTTCGCGTATATTTTTTTTTTCTGTCTAGTGTCTACTTTCATGCCATTAATTCAATATAAATTTATATCTTACTAGCAATAAATCTAAAACCAACTAAATATATCTACTATAAATTTAAATATCAACAAAATAAAAGTAAAATCACAATAAACTAAAGCATAGTTTTTTGTTCGCCCTTTTAACGTTTTAGGATAATACTTTACGATAAAAATACAATACAAGTCCACTAAAATAAATAAAAGGTCCAAAAAAAATAATAATGTCCCTTTTCAACTAGCAAAATGAATAAACGAATTAATTTTGTCACAGAACTCAAGAAACATCAAATTTGTCACAGAACTAGTAAAAGGAAGAAACATTCACATACTCAAGAAGCCACATAACTCATAATCAATTTTCTCCTTCATAAAAAAAAAAAAAAAAATTTAATTAGCAAATTAAAAAAAAAGAGTCAAGACATGTATCCATCTAATAAT